TTCCTTCATTTTGAGTACCACATACTAAAATTACATCTTTTATTTTGATCTTGTTCCAAATTCGACCTTCAGCAGAGGTGTTTGTAGAACAGCTGCTTTCAAAAAACATAACATAAGCAGTGAGTATAAAACTATAAAAATATTTCCAAAGAGAGAACTGAGAAAATATTCGCTTTTTCTATAACACAATCTCAAGATTATATTGAGAATATTCCGCAATCCCGAAAAACACAATTAACTCACTATTTTAACCTCTAGGAAATATATATTTGCTTACAAATTTGTCCTAGTGTCTAAGCATTGTTAAGAATTCTTTAAGAATCCAAGGCATGGCATGAAAGGAGCTTTCAACACAATGCATACCAATATGTATGTATATGTATATACGTTTTTATAACCGAAAGTTTAGGCTAAGCCTAAATGCGCTGTGAATATATTTATACTCTTGTGCTTGCTCGCTTCGTTATTACTGTTGCTTTTGGTAATGACATGCCGATTATTATACATCATCTACTACATGCCCAAATAGGTGTGCGTACGCCTAAATTAAGTTGAATACCCCAAGTGCCGCAATATGTTCGCAGGCACTATTTCTCAGCATATGGCAAGGCACCCGTTACTCATACGACATGTGTGCCCATTTACGACACACACTATACGGGAAACACATGTTGCAGCGTGCAATAAATAGTAGTATAACCTTTTTAGTGCTTTCTGCTTTGTCTTGAGGCTCCGCGCGCATTACGTATAAAATAAACAATAACGACACACATCTATATTTTTATTTTATGTGGGAGCGAATGCAATATTCACCAAGGGTCGTCCGTCCGTAGAGCAATCGTAGTGCTTCGCAATAAATGAGTAGTAAACAAAACTACTTTTGGTTGCTCCTTTTCTGCTTTTTTTTTTTTTTTTTTTTTTTTTTTTTTTTTTTTTTTTTTTTTTTTTTTTGTATTCTTATTAGATTTGTTGCCTTTTTATTATGTGTGGCGCGCTATGCCTCCTCCGTGATTTCTTTCTCGTCGACCGACGCCAACTTCCGCACTTTTTATGCACTCATTTGCTTTAGTGCGCCATTAAGGTTTTTTATTATTTCGCTTGCGTACTCTGAGCGAAATTCTGTTTGCTTTTATTTAACTCTATGAGTATATAACACTGCATTCAAGCGTGAAAAGTTCTTGTTTGCACTTGCAACTGCCACATATTCTGCATGCTTTAACACCTTTTCGCCTAGAAATATTTAAATTTTCATATTTATTGAAACAATATATAGGTAACTTTTTTGTTTCGCCACATTTTATGAAGCTTTGAATAGTTTTCGATTCACCTTTCCACTAAATATGTTGGCCAACTGTATTTATTTGCAGTTTTTCCATTTATTTCCCAATCTACTGATCGCCGCGTCAAATATTTTGCAACATTTGTCCATAAAATTGATTTCATATGACTGGGACTTTAATAAACATTGCTGTATTCACGCAATTTTTTTGGCTCTGCAGCACGGCCTCACCGTTATTTACTGTAGGCGCTTGCTGCTGCTGCATGTGAATAGTTTGTTGGTTTGGAACTTTGTTGCCAGTTTGCTGTGGTTACCAAATGTGCATTTTTCATAATTTTTTATGGCAAAAGTTTGAAAAAATTCCTTTGTGCATTTTTTTATTGCCACCTGCCATTTGAAACTTTTTATGTTCATCAGTTGAATAGCAGTTAGGGCTCAACCTTGAATTTTACAAAAAGCCAAGCCGGTGAGCCGGTGGCAAAAACAAGCATATTTTTAATTTAATAGCGTTTCGTCTGTGGGCCTCTCAATATGAGCTGAAAAAAGTTTTGTTTCAAATTCCCAGTGAACTTTTTTGCGACACCCTTTGTGTGAAAATTTATAAAAAAAGTTCTGAGAGTTCTAATCAATTTAAATTACCTTTCTATTGAAGGCAAAAAAATTAATCAAATTTTTTTCGTTTATAAAATAGGATGGAATTCTCCCTATTAGCCTTCTGCAATAAGTGGCATGGCGTTAGATATTTAATAAGTTGCGATTTCTACTTTATATCATGGATTTTTATATTGCCATAGAATTTAACTTAAATTCGTCTACAATATTGTCTTCTCTTCCAGAAAAGAGTGGGATAAGGTGGGGTCGACTGAGGCGCAGGGTAAATAAACAAGGTCTACTTTTTAGCTTACACTCTACACTTTGTATAAATTTAATGTAAATGTTTACTCTGGCAATTGATAGACATGAAATAATGAACGTTATATGTAGTATTAGGTTGTCAAAAAAAGTCTTGCGGTATTTTCGCTAGTTGGCGCTGAGAGCGCGTAGTTCTAGTTTTATTCGTCGCATCGGGTCATGCTATACCATTTTGGAAAGCTCATTTCACGCGCTAACATGTCGTTTCTTTTAAGTCGTTCGTAAGTTATAGCGTCGCAAACATGGAGTTAAATAAAGAGAAAATACGACATATTTTACAGTACTACTACGATAAAGGCAAAAATGCACCTCAAGCCGCCAATAAAATTTGTGAAGTTTATGGACCCGATACAGTTTCCATTTCCACCGCACAACGATGGTTTCAACGTTTTCGTTCTAGTGTAGAGGTGGTCGAAGAAGCGCCACGCTCCGCAAGGTCGAAAGTTGCGATAAAATCGCTGAATTGGTCGAAAAAGACTGGCATAGTAGCAGCCGTAGCATCGGTCAAGAGCTGGGCATGAGTCATCAAAAAAAATTTTATGAACAATTGAAAATTCAATAAAAATACCGCAAGAAATATTTAAAAAAGGAGGGACTATACATCATCTTCTATGAAAACACAAAGCTTTACGATAGGATATAATAAGAATAGTAATACAATACTATCGGTCGAGGGCTTCTTGACAATACCTCGGAAGTCGCATAAATAAAATGTTTTGAATTGCCGAACTTCATCAAGAGAACAGGGTGGTTCAGAGATGACATCATAAAGTCTACCTACATTTAATTCCTATCAAAGGAATAAACTCTTAATATGCTTAAGGCAGCTTCAGAACCAAATATGTATCGATTAGTAACAATAAAATATTTTGTCAGGCTCGTAACAGTTAGTCAGCAGTTAGCAGCTTATTAAGTTTTATGAAATACTGCTAGTACTCTCCGTCTGTCTGAAATTGTGTCTATGCTTCAAAATACTCAGTAGTGATAGACGCACACAATTTTAAAGCCAATATAAGAGTTTATGTAAAGCCGAATTTGCTCACTGAACTTTTCTGAAATAATTGCAAATTTCATATTCTTAATTCTTTCGAGTAAATTCTAAACATTCTCTATTTAATATTTTCAACTTTCCACTTATCCTGCAATAGTCTGCAGTATTTTTCAATTTGCACTTGAAACCCATTTAACTTCGTTTCTCTGCCAAAATTACAAAGTCTAGAAGAAGTGGGAAAGAGTCATTATTTATTTATTTTCTAATTTACTCGCCGATGAGCATAAACCCATTACGCGATGGAGCGGTGCTACCATTCTGGTCATTACGACCTCTGCCTCACTTTCACTCTCTCAAAACGTTCTCGCAATCACTTGTGTATGTGTGCATGGAGCTCTTCGAATGCATGTGCAGTGGCAGCGAAGCTCTTATGACTTTAGTGTTTGAACACACACACCTGCTTCTAGGGTTCCTTGCGAATTGCCTAATGCCATGCACTAACAAGACAAAGAGGATTTTGCCACACCTCACGGTACAACTTACACCGTAGTGCTACAAGCGAATGCTTTAATTGCAGATTCGTATGCAATAGCAAAGCACACTTGCACGTACTTCTCCAATGAAAGCTTTTCCGACTTTCTTCCACTTACAAATGCGCCATTTTTTCGCGGAATTGAGGCATGGCGGTGTAGCGGTTTGATCTTCCATTATTCCCAAGAAGCATAGGAAAAATTGAAAAAGGCAACATTCGGATTTCGCAGTGAAATATGCCCAAATTGCCTATTGGCATGGAAAAGGTGTGCTTGTTGCCTGAATGAATGCGCCGGCACGTCCACTCTTCGGTGGCAAGAATTTGCAATTTCCTTCGCACGCCGCCCGTCTATTTGCGCACTAAAACAAATACGCCATTGTAAGTGCACGGCTGAGAGCTTATTGGTTCGGCAGCCAACTCAGCGCCTCTGTGAAAACACACAAGTCTAAATACTTACGACCCTGTAGAGAAATGAAGTAATAGAAGCTGGTGCGGTTTTTCTGCAACAATCAGCAATTCCACGTAGAGTTTAGTCCACAACAGAGCAAGTAATTGCTCTTGCATGTTACCTTAACCCCAAGCGCTTTGTTGATTGTCTTACTTTCACTTATAGAGGAATTTTAGCTAGGCTTGACCTCTTAACCTTACTTAGCTTAACCTATTTCACACTTTGGCTCATCCAACGGTCCGCTCGGATGATTGTCAATTGGGTTCCGGAGAGAGATGGTGGCGCTGAAATTCGTATTTATTACGATCAGACAACTTCGCACACTCTTTGGAATCATCAATTAGTTGTTGTTTATGGAATATTCGTTTGTTTCAGTTTGACTAAAACTTTCGAATAGATTGCTATTATTGGCACATTGTGAATCATTTCATGGATTTTACTAATGTTCCGGTAGTTTATTGAGTTCATAGTATTCTAAGCTCTTTTATTCAGTTTACCAAACTACTTTTCATCTGTTGCTTTTATCATTAACGCAAGGTATACATTTGTATATATAAAAACATGACTAAAATCGTAGGAAAACAATGAACACATATTAACACACACATATATGCATGTGCATATATTTACTTATATTCTTTGTAATTCACAACTGCCGAAGATAGAGCCATTCCGTTGAACATCGCTTCTTTACAGAGCGAAATAAATTCGTGAAAACTTTTGATACATATTAGCCACTTAAATATATATGTTTATATACGTTTTTATTCCATGAATATTCTGTAAAGAATTTGAAAAACCATCACTCATTAAATGGATTTTCTATTACCTTTTTCAGACTCTACTGCTACGCGCAGAAGCATGTAAAGTCCATCAAGGCGGTGACGAGACCCGGCGAGGTGGCCGAGAAGCAACGCTATAAGAGTATACGACGCAACAAAAACCAACCGAAAAAGTTCAAAGTGCGCAATCTGCACCACAGTTCGCCCTATCATGTCTCTGATCATAAGGCCGCCGTCACGGTCGGTGTCATCATGGGCGTCTTCCTAATCTGTTGGGTGCCATTCTTTTGTGTCAATATTGTCGCCGCCTTTTGTAAGACCTGCATTGGGGGACAGACCTTTAAAATACTCTCGTGGCTGGGCTACTCCAACTCGGCCTTCAATCCCATTATTTACTCAATATTCAATAAGGAATTTCGTGACGCCTTCAAGCGCATACTCACCACACGAAATCCATGGTGTTGCCGACAGGAGGTTGGCAATATACATCCGCGCAACAGCGATCGTTTCGTAACCGATTATGCGGCGAAAAACGTGGTTATGATGAATTCAGCACGCTCGTCGGCCGAACTGGAACAAGTGTCTGCGATTTGACCAAAACGCACCGCTTCGGCGTTGGTTTGCTGCATGTCCAGTGCGGATGCTGCATCACTGACGACGACATATATTCCGTGAGATTCAGTGACGGTGGCAACCACGACCATCGTGGAGGCTTTGCCGGTTGTGACGGAAATGGAAACGGAATTAGTTTAAAATTGCTGAATTACGAAGAGGATGCAGTGAAATGTGCGTGGCGCCATAATCGTGCGAGATAATCGTGTTGAAAGTGAATTTTAGGCCATAGCGTTTGTGAAGGTGAGTGACCGACAGACCGACTGACTTACAGGCCATTTAACCGTTAATAATAACAGGAATAAAACAGGGTGAGCAATATAGAGCTAATGAGACTTTTGTAAACATAATGGACCGCATATGTACGTATGTATATTTTTAGGTATGCTTGTAGTGAACACTACAAACTTGAATAAGTCAATACTATTATATATATGAATACGTAGTTATATAAGTGATTGTGTTGTTTGCTTATATTATGCTAAAAAATTAACGAATTAGTAGAATGGAATTTATGGAATTTTCGTGCGAAATGGGATTGTTAAGTAAATTATTCGTCCTCAAACTAAATTAAAGCTGTGCCTATGAATCTATTTCTTAACTCAAACGTACCTACAGTGATCCGTCTACCCTAAGAGATGCAGCACTCGAAAAATCTGAAGACTTCAAATATTTAGATATTAATTTTAAAAAGATAGAGGCTGACAAATATCTGTTCATTTGAAACCATCACAAAAGCAAGAAAAACGTTAACTTCGGCTGCATCGAAGCTAATTAAGCCTTCACAGGTGCATTTCTTGTAAGTAACTATGTGTTCAGTTTGTATGGAGCTATATGCTATAGTAATCCGATCTGAACAATATTTTTGGAGATTATATTATTACCTTAAGCAGTAATCCGTGTCGAATTTCGTGAAGATACCACGTCAAATGCGAAAGTTTTCCATACAAGCATTTGATTCCGATAATTCAGTTTGTATGACAGCTATATGCTATCGTTAACTGATCTGAACAATTTCTTCGGAGATTACATTATTACATTAAAAAATAATATATACCAAATTATGTGAATATATCTTGGCAAATACAAAAATTTTCCGTACCAGCACTAGATTCCGATCGTTCAGTTTACATTATTATCTTAGAAAATAACCTATGCCAACGTTTGTGAAGATACATTGTCAAATGTGAAAGTTTTTTATACAAGAACTTGATTCGGATCGTTATAGTGATCCGATATCGGCAGTTCCGACAAATGAGCAGCTTCTTGAAGCAAAATTTCATATCACTAAATCGACTCAGCTCAATACACTGAGCATTTATAAATATACTTTATAGGGTATCCGACCCTTCCTTCTCGGTGTTACAAACTTCGTGACAAACTTAATATACCCTTCTCAGGCTGTTCAGGGTATAATAATCGATGTCGTGGTTTAAAAGCAGTTAAGGTTTAAGCCAACAAAAAATGCCACAAGTCCGGGATGAGTTCGATTAGCTGAAAAAGAATTTGTGATATAGCTATCCATATTTGGCAATTTAGATCTTTTTGGTGGATCGAAATACTGACTATACCTAAAAAAATTTCTTGGAAACTAATTCATACTCAACTGTGACTTATTGAGAGTATTTTTGGGTTCTCTCTAACGATTACTAAAACAATTATTTTTAGGGACTTAGGATGTGGAAGTTACCAAACTGACTTTGCGCCATACGAATGGTAATAAAAGATATAAAACAAACAAGTATTTAGGATAATCGCTTTTAATAGAGCAGGCAGTACATTGAGCCCCCTAAAAAGTTTAACGTTCCTTACTCCTAAACCGATGCGGGTTAAGTTAAGGTTATGTAGTCCTTTTATGAAGCCATAGAACTTCGAGCATATAAATTACCAAGACACTTAGTGTCCAATACAAATTTGTACAGGCGTTTAATTTCCATTTCCGACGGCTCGATGGGATGTCTGAAGGTTTGCGCTCCCAAGTGCTTAACCCTTTACCTACCAAACATGGGACAATGAAGAAGGAAATGAGCTCTTGCGATCCACCTTGGGTCTAAAGCAGTTTATGTGTACATATAACATGCTTTTAAGTTATATCTGATTCTTTCACTTTCCAATATATAAATCAGGAACTATCCAATATAATGTCACCATGTGACCTCCGTTCCCATTGCGAACTATTTACCGAATATATCGGTCAATCGGCGAGATGTGTTATTGAATATTCCCCGGCTTTTTTCTTTGCAAGTTGCGAAAGTACAAAATTTCATTTTCTACTTCCAAATATTTTAATTTGGTACAGTTTTAAGAACTTAAGGTCTATTTCTACTGCCAAAAAATTATTTATGAATTAATTTTATACTAACAGCATACATACTGTTTATCAAAATTATGAGTCAAACTGCGAATATAAAAAATTATTCATTCTCTAAAACATGTTTAATATAGCCTAAAATAAAAAGCCCCTTCTTCTCGGCAAAAAGTCAAAATCGCGTTATTTTGTACCTTGAACAGACCGAAGTTGGAACCGCCTTTATCGAACGACTATAGTATATAACTGCCATCCAAAATGAACGATGAAATCAAGTTCTCGTACATAAGACTGTGTATTTGTGTATTTTTTGTGAAGGGTAATATGGAATTCAGGGCGTTTGAAGATTCACACCTCTTAAATACTTAAATTATGCGTAACCAATGACGTCATATCTTAATTTAATTATTATAAATTTGATTGCGATCTAATTAAACTATTATTAGCGCTTAAATTTTTAATGTGTGGTCTTATGAATATATAACCAACTAAACTTGATTAAATTGTAAACTCCATTGACTGTGCTTCGCCATGAATGCTAAATAACCACTGCAATAAAAACAAACTGAGTTTCAGCCATTTTCCCATTAAAACTTAGTACGAAGCTTGAATTAATTTCAATTAAATGCTGGTGTTAAATGTTGAAGTAAATACGGCGCTAATAAAAACGAAATAAACAATCTATAAATTTCGTCATCAGCGCGTTTCGCTTTGAGAGCAATTCTGCTGCTCTTTGTTAAAATGCAATGATAAATGTAATTAAAACTTCGTCTATAAGTGAGTTTTTGAGTTTTTAGTAAAATGCGCAGAGCACAGTGCAGCCGGGAAATCAAAACAGTACGCGCTAATGGGATTGACGGCGGACTGTCGCACTGCCGTTCTGCCGCTCAGCGCTTCCATCGCACAGAGGTCGCTGTCAATAATTTACTCCATCCGGCAGTAATGTATGGAAGAGCGAATGGTTGGCTGTTTTTTGCGCCATTGCCAGAGTCACTATTTGCGCCTTACTTTGCGCTTTGAATGTGCTTTTTCGGAAATTCGGAAGTTTTTGCACTACTTTTGTCAGTCAGTTGGAGCAAGTTTTACAAACTGGCACTTGCATTTAATTAATGTATTCGAAATAACTGCATGCAAAGGAAATTAAATTGTATACACTCCCCTAGTAGAGTTATAGTACGCACTAGTAGACCAACTAGACTTGCGGACTGACGGATGCGAAATTCAAAACAAAATGCACAACTTTGATTTCAAAAGAAAAATACCTTGATTTTCAATTAGTTATTATTATTAGTATTGATTGCTAGTTGAAGTGGAAGTTCCAGTTGAGTGCTCTGCTGCACGAATTAGAAAAATGTTAAGGAAGGAAGCTAAAGCAAATTATTAACAAACGACTTTCGACTCGTTTTTGCACTTAAAATGCAGAGAAATATACGACAATTAATATATCAATCCACTAAAATACTAAGAAACACAATTTAAGGATTAGTATATTTCAAACAACCGCAAATTTGACCTAATGAAAGTACTTGTAGTTTAGAAAATGACATTGCGTATACGTAATATTTAATTATTATTTGCTGAAATTAATAACTGTTCTTTCTTTTGACACATGTATGTGCAAAAATATACATATGCAAAATTAATCTTTATTTATCAAGTAAAACAAATTATTTGAAAGAAAGACTTTAAATTTGCTGCTATGGTACTGCTACATCTTAGCTGGAAAGAAAAATAGATCGATGCCGGAGTGCTATAATATAATATATAAATATAAATTTGTTATTGAAAATAAAATTCGACTAACTAAGCTTTTGATTGTTTGTAGAGAAATGAATGCTAGGAAGCCATTCGAAACCTTGCAAGCGTTTATATTAATAAGGGTAAAAGTGCATTAAGAAGTCCTTTCAAGGTTATGAGGTCGTGTTGCGAGTAATTTTTTTTTTTTTTTTTTCACAGCGATAACATAGAACATAAAAAATAAAACAATGCGTTTTTTATAAGCAGCACTATGTGCTTCTGTTGAGCTTTATTACAAAACTAAAAACACTTAACTTTAAGGTTTATAATCTAACCTATGCTTGAGC